CGACAACATCCCGCACCTGCACTACCCTCATAAGGAAACCTGCAATCATGGTTTTTTTTTTTTTCGAAAGTGTAGACCCATTGCGGCCTGAAAGAGTGCTTCTGCTTGTACCCCTCGTAACACGTGTCACAAGGGTTTTTGTAATGAAATATCATCATATTCATGTTCAGCGGGTCGAATTACCCCTGGGGACAAGTTTCTGGCCGAATCTGATTTTTCGACCTCATTCGGAAAATGTGGGCTATTCCATGGGTAATTAGCAGCAGATTGGAGCTCACCTACCATCGATGACTGATCTTGGAATGGGATTTCCTCCCGATAGTCAAGAAAATGGTGCAGACGGCACAAATAGTAAGCCAGGTACTGTTGTTTTACGAAAACACATGACTGAAGAGTTATTTCAGTTCGAAGACCAGTCATCACCAGTATGCTAGTCATAGTATCGATGTTAGCTATCAGTTAGCCATGACTATCCATACCCCATTTTTACGAAGTTGAGTCAGAAGCTCAGATTTCGCTAAGGTGACGTCCCTAGGGGTTATTTGACCCCCTGAACACGAATATGATACCTGTTTTGCGCGAAGAGCGCTGTGAGTCGCGCTACATGTCCCAAACGCTCGTGGGCCGTGCGCGCCCGTAAGAAGAAAACAGTAAAGAAAAACCTCAATAACTCCGCTCAGAGAATCGTTCTGCAAATTCTGAAGGCAGTTCTGAGTTCAGCGTGTAAAGATGAGTACAGTGATGTGCATCTCATTGCAAATGGCCAGGCTGACCTGTTGACCTTTCCTGGTGAGACCGACGTAAGCCTCTAGAACACGAGCCTGGCGATCTCTTTCTGGGGGTGTTCAGACGATTCCTCTGAAATGAAACGTTGTTGAACAGTGAACAGTGTGTTCTGCTTATCCCAGAGAAGGAACGGGAGTGCAACTTGGCCAGGGTGAACCTAACTTTCTGAAGAGAAGGAGGGAGTTTCTTCGACCAAATGTTATGGGTTATAGAGCGGCCAACTACCACGTTCGGAGCGATTCACGTTTAAGAAATCATTCGAAAGTTTCACCTAGCGCGGCCTCCAACATGGGAATTATTGGAGTCATAATGAGTGACTTCGCAATATGTACAACACTGCTCAGTCATGTTTCCTTCAATTTTTCATTTTTACAGTCATTGCAGAACCATTCAAGTGACTAGTTCCACGGAACGATCGGAAACCAATGCCGATATTATTCAAGAAAATTTGAAGGGAACTGTCGGCAATATAGGAAACCGGTTGTATAAAGATTGTTGGAGCATATTTGTAGGAAAGGCAGACTATATGACCGACACCACTAAGTAATTCCTCGTGCAGAACACTATCTTTGTATTTCAAAGTGGACACACCACACTGTGGTGGTATTCGGAGGTTGACAGGAACGAAGTTAGAAACGAAGTAGGCAATCATGCTGGTTATCTTCATCCTTTTCCTTTTTGGTGGGGGCGGAGGTGGTGCATTGGCAAGTGCCAGTACGATTACTAGGCGCGCCGTCAGGGGGTCTGGATCGATTCCCACCCGCGGCAACCAAACTCTCCACCCTGCGGGGACAGAGAATTGGTACCTAGATTCGTCTGGGAGGATAAAAACACTGACTTGTACATCGGCTGGCCTCCGCAAGTCATTGCATAGACCACGCACGTCAGTAAGCCACTACGATTCTAAATTGAAGTAGTATGCGTGCCGCAACCCGAAAAAAGGATTGATAAACGGGGAAGTCTTAGTCCTCTTCATCCTTTATCCACTTGCGGTGGACTAAGGTGGTGAAAAGCCAAATGACGGCGTGCAACTTACCTCACGCGGTTAGGGTATCTTTTCCAGGATCGCTACATTACGAGTCAAAAAAACTTCAGTTCTCCTGAAGTACAAAAACCTACTTATACTTACGGCTCATGTCAGCTACCCCGCACATCATTGCACAGCCATAATATCCAGAATTTCCCTGCGATCATGGAAAGAAGTTAGATGCATGGCCCATTCCAGAAAGGACTGATCAACGCAGAAGTTTAATTACTCGTTTTAAACTTATAGTAAAACTCTTGTATGTAAGGCTGTCTTTTCCTATTCTTCATATCGTCGCGAACAGTCAGGGCGGTCTTGCTCCCGCGCCATTTCCACCACTGTTTTTTCCTTAATCGATCGTTCACCAATCACCACTA